AGTTCTATCTACCTCTGACATAATAAAACATTGATTCAATCCATGTCCAGTTAATGAAACATTTTACATATTGTTTCAAGTGTTTGCAACATCTTCAGGATATACATATTCTCCAGCCCACTGGAAGCAATGTGCAAGGGGACGTCCAGAAAGGTCCTTTCATCTCTTCCTTCATTTTCTATATTTCAGAAACAACTGCAGTTCAGAAACATCACACAAATTTCCCCATAGCTTTAGACAATGATGTTTTAATGAAAAAGAAACTACAGCATCTTATAAATTAAAGTTGCTTTAAATGTGCTCATTAAGCTCCTTGTTTGACCATAGAAAGTCTCTATCTCAACCCTTATTAGCTTATTGTATTGACATGTGTGTTCTGTTCATGTGTCCGTGTTTTCTGGCTCTAATGTAGGCTTATCTGCTCTTTGTTTTGCCTTTTGGTGTGTGTGTGTTCTGGCTGGTGTGTGGTCCTGAGGGACTGGTTGTGTCCACTCCTGCATTGATGCCATCACGCTCTCATCTGCATACCCGACAGTTCCTCCTTCCACACCCCTTTCCTCCATCTCTCTCTATCCATGTGCTTCCTAAACTGCAACCTTTGACTGTCATTTCTTGTTATTTCTCACTGACTTTTCTCTTTCCTTCAATTGCCTTTCTTGGTTGTTCTGTCTTACTCTCTCACTCTCATTCTTTGCCTTGCTATTTTTCTCTCTGGGTCAATACTGTGTGTGTTGGGGATTCAGCAGTTGCAGTTTCTAGATAAACACCCCGTTAGCAGGATTATCCCTGTTGTCCTAACAATGTAAACCCTGGATTAGCCTGACTCTCCAGGGATATAACGTGTGTTCATGTTTGTGACTGTGTGTGTGTGTGTGCCTGTTGTCCTAACCCTGTAAGCTCGCCATCTGAAAAGGATGCCTTTCAGAGCATGTAAAATCCCAGTAGCTCACTGCACATCAGAAGTGAGTGTAATTCATATGTGTGTTCAAGGTGTCAAAATGTGTGTATTTACATTATATCATTTTAATTCGTTTAACTTAACAAAGTTGATGGTGTGGAACCCTCTACTTGCTGTTGTCTTCTTTTCTTGCCATAGCTGTAGTACCAACCGTTCTTACTCCCAAGTCGTCACATGTGGACTGAAAAGTCAGAGTAGGGAGGCATATGTGACTTATGTACGTAACTTACTGCAACACACCGGGACAAAGTGACAAAAAATACCAGGTGTAAACACAAAGGCAAGATCAGATAATTTAATATCCAGATAATAGATACAGATCATATTTTAATACCAGGTGTAAATGGGGTGTTCTGTGATGGAGAAGGGATCATCCAACCGTACTGTGGTGGTTAAGATGGGGCGTGAGATCCAATGAGGTTTAGGAAGATAAGTTTAGTATTTTGAAAATATATATAAATACATAATAAAATAAATACAAACACTTCCATTTAAACTTTTTTTAAGGAACGCCACCGATAAACAGTCACTAGCATTAAAAGCATTGTGTGTATCCTGGAGGTCTAGCAAATGGCTTGATTGTTTACATCCATGTTAGCTATGGACATTATAGTAAATGGATGAAGCTACTCTGCATGTTTGAATGGAGAGCAGTGAAGCCAATTTTGGTCCTATGTAGTACAACTATATGGCTACTTTCTACTGGCACCAGAGTCTACTGCACATGATTGTGCAGCATAAGACACAGTTTAATGATGTAGAGCAACGGCTGAAAAACCGTAATTCTGGTAGCTGCATGGCTGCACCATGCTGCACTCAGCTTCGCCAACAAGTCTTTTGGCTCAGTGTGTTTGTCTGACTTGGATTGTGACTCTGTTTAATTAGCGCACCTACAAGTCTCATTTGCAAAACAGCAAATTAGCATCATTGATGGCCAAATATTTTTTTTTAGAATCTCAGAGAGCTTCTTATTTAAACAATATGGTTATATCTCTCATGTGCAATGGGATGTTGCAGGGTCTTGATGTAATTTTTCTGCACACATGGCACACTCCATGCAGGCTTTGGTCAGCTTCACTGCTCAAACTCTCACTTACCCCCTTGGTTGGCTAGCTAGCAGTCTTCTTCTTCATTGCTTTTGTGGGCGCATTGCCACGCTTCTTGGCATGTTACTGCCATTAACTGTCAATCAGTGGAATAATGTGAAACCGGCAACAGGAATGTAGGGGTCGCCCATATGTTCACTTGTGTGTTAACTTAAGGGGACCCACTCGTAAGAACACTGTGTTCAACAACTCTATACCTTTAAGGGGTGTTCAGACTGATAACCACTGAACTAAAAATAAGCAATGGGCTGCATTGGTGGGGTCGTTTTGTTTCAAATACCAGTAAGAAGAATGTAATCTAGAAAGACCAGTTTGAAAAATAGATTCATGTATTCAAATGCTTACCACACACCAAAACCCTGCACAGTCGTTTTTTAATATTCAAAAGAACGATTCACAACTCTGGGACGTCACTATTACAGTGAGAATCATTTTACTCTCAGTTGCAACAATCGGCAGGTAAGCAGAGGAATTACCCAGGTTACTTACTCAATTTACACAGAGCCCTCTGAATTGGGATCCCTCCTGAGTCACCTAATTAACAATGTGGGCCTTTCATTCATTGCTAATGTTTGTTTGAACGTGACCTTAGGCTTCCCTCACATGAAATCATGTTATGGAAGTAAAGCATTTTCGAAGATAAATTAAATACACAAGTTGTTTATATAGATCAGAAATCTTTATGTTAACTTACAGATAATGACCAATCAGCCAAGCACCGTTCTTAGAGCTCTGGGTAACCAAGCGCTGGCGAAGGGATGGAGGAGGAAGAGCTGAAAAGAAATAAAAGCGGGGAAGCCAGTAAGGGGGCTGTTGAGAAGGCAGGGCGAGGGCTGTGGTGGCGATGAGGAGGTGAGAGGTCAAAGGTCAGCCCCCCTAGTGATATCTCCTGTGCCAGAGAGGCAGTCACGACCCGGTCAGCGGAGGTTCAGGTGTCAGAGAGAGACGACTGACTGACGAGACCAAGTGGGACCTCTCCTGCACTCCGTCCCCGTTGGACCTTTCATCCTTCCTTCCCTCCCTCTCCCTGTCACTCCTCCGTGACCCATCCCTCCCTTCCTTCAACCGCCCTCTTCACTCTCTGTCTACCCACTGAAGCCCAACCCTGTCATCTTCCCATCCTTCCCTCCTTCCTTACCCCCCACTCACCTTCTTTTTCACCCCCTAAGCTAAACATTACCACAGGCTTTCACTCAGCAGGCCAGGCTGACTGGGGCAGCTCTCTGTGGGGCTGCATGTCTTCAGTCCACCATCATGTGCTCTCACGGTTTACATTCACACTGACACAGAAAAACACGCAAGAACACACTGCACATGTATGCACACAGGTTGTTGGCATGTAGCCTACACTGCACTACTAATCCGACAGGAAGACTTTGAGCATTTGAAATTGAAGGGAGTTTCCAGTTTTTACACACGGGTCTTATTTTTTTAGTTGTTGCTATCATGCCTGTCGTTTATGAAAACACTTCTTTCACTGACCTCATTGTAGCGATTCTGCACATGTGGACACCACTAGACAAAGATGTCAAAGAGTATGACCCTGAATATGAAAGAACATTTCTAATATAATGATTCTATCCCTGAGCTTCTTAGTTCCAATACCATACCTCTTCTTCTAAGAAGTTGGGTAAAGCTGGACTGATTTAAACAAGTGTAAGGCTCAATGCCTCCATGTTGTTTAACAATAAACTTTTCCTTTTAAGGGTCAATAAGTAAGTCTTGACTTAAATGACCTTAACTACTTAACTATTAACAACTAAGGCCTGCAGTTTGGATAATTAGTTTTGAAAGACAGAAATTGGTATCCCAAGAACAATTGTTGAGTTACTGCTATTGATTCTATTAACCTCCAGAGAATTATTATGGTCATTTTGTGCTGTGGGACAGTAAGGAATGTATTTATTGCAGCTTTAACACATATAGGGTACTCATTTCCATCTTTTGATGCAACCATTAAATCAATATAATAGTGGTAGGATGACATCATAGACTTGATACCGATCATTAAGTTGGAAAGGGACTGAGCTGCCCATTTCATCATCAGTGACTTTTTCCTAATTACAGCACACTGTATTACCAAGAATCAAAACAACATATCAGAGAAACTATGTTTACATGTCAGGATGCCTTTAGATTATGATATGCAATGTCATAACAGTAGATACTCCTAAGTTATTGACCTCTTCTGACCTGGTCGTCAGCCAGAGCAGATAGATTAATCACACCTGTCTGTAGGTCGCAGTGAGTCTCATCTTATCAACCACTAGTGATAGAAACAAAATGTAGCCATTGGTCATTGTGAAACTAACAACTATGATGCCTATTGTTTGTTCCGCACTGAAAAGAAAATTGTACTTGTGACAATTGTGACAAGTCTTGCTTTCTAAAATATCTTCATTATGACAAATAAAATAAACGTGGTTAAGACATGGTTAGGGTTTTTGCTAATTAACACTTGGTCAAAGTTAATTGCAGGCCTGTGATGTCTCCTGCACACTATTTCCTGCACTTGCGTTGGCATTGGATGTAAATCATTAGGTACAGAATCGTCCAATATAGGTGTAATTCCTGTGAACTGGGCAAACAGACCTATTACTTAACACACATTACATCATATTTGCTTTGCATTATTGTGGCTAAAATCTCTTTGTGGCAGTATGTGTGAATTTAATTTGCTGAAAAAGAACGTCAGGTAAATGACCTGCAGCTTTTTGATGGACTGGTATGCAAAATTTGACACATTGTGCACATGTCTTCTGATTCAGCAAGTCTCATTAAGATACATTAAATATTATCACTTTTTTGTAAGTGCTCATGATAATGGGGTCTCAAAATATAGCACATAGTTTTTATTTATGTTATTTTCCCCTCAGCTTTCTTACTGTGTCTTGTGTGGAAAAGAGGTTTATTTCATAACCATTTTACATCTGCAGAATGGACCTCACCCTGAAGGTATGGACAAGCTTCTCATCACTCTCTTACTGTCTCATCATCGTGTTGACTGGATGGCATGCCTGAGGACACGAGACAGCCAGACATAGGCACTGGCAGGTATGCGCACACCGACATACACTTTGGCAGGTGCAGGCTGCACAAAGACCTGCCAGTCGTTTCTTCCATGTTGCTTTTCATTAACTTGTCTAATATAATCAAAGACTGTCAGCAAGAGTGAAAGAAAGGGAAGAAGGATAGATTGCCTCCTTCTTTTCATAGATATGATTCTGTTCATGCAGCTGCATCTAAAATTAAACTTCCTTTTTCTGTCTGATAACATAGTGTCTGGCCTTTTGTTGCTCCTGAAATGTCCTTGGGCATTTTGCACACACAGATGCATCACATACACACACATACAGGTGAGAAAAGTGATGAAAGCACAAGTGCTCTGGGCAGCGTACATTCTACACTGTCAGCTCATCATATAGTATATCGACACAAGTGCACACCTGCATGTTCCACAAAAAAAACAACAACATTAAAAGGCAAGTATTATTGTTGAACGACATTTTCAGCGATGCAATCAGGACGTTTAGTGAAATGCCATCGCTTAATGAAATAACGACAGGATACATTTACCTCTCTGCATAAACTGATGGCTTATTTCTTTGCTTTCGGGAGGCGCATCACTCTGCTAAAGGTTAAAGGGAAGATATTCTAATCAGGGACTCTTTACAGAACAGCAGCTCAATAAGGTCAACTGGTGTCACAACATTCGGGTTGGAGGGAGGGACGTGTATGTGCACAAGTGTGTGTGTGTGTGTGTGTGTGTGTGTGTGTGTATGGCAGTGTGACTGTTACATCACAGTCATCCTCAGTTCACCTTTCTGCTCCTCGTGCAGCATTTCTCTTTTTCTCTTTTTCTCTATCTTTGGTTGCTTGTTTCTTGCTGTGTGCCAGGTTTCAATGAAAACACAGTGAATTCATCCCTCTAAAACAATACACTTAGCCACATGTAAAGTGCTGGTGTCTGACGGGGTGATCCGCCGGCCAATCGGCTGTATTGATTATTGGGCCAGGGGAGGCTGGTGGAGCGGCAGCAGTAATTAGGGCTTTTTGGTGTGGATTAGCTGAGAGAAAAGGTCACCCGCTCAACATCAGTAGCAGGACCACAGACAGGGACAGGGAGGGGTGGACGGATGGAGGGGACTGTCCCCAAACGTGATGACCATGATTGACAGCGCCATGTAGCCTATGTATAGCTAGGTGAGCACATGCAGAAAATGAGTGACAGACAGCTTAAACGATGAGTCCATTTTACTACAACATGGATCTTACTTTTGTGGTTTTGTAGCCATCATTTTATTGTTCATGATAACACTTTACTCACCAAAGTGATGAGGTGAAGAGATGCTGAGGTCTGGGAACGCAGTGACATAAAAAATCCAACTGGGAAGAAACAGGTTGTTAACACTTCAGCTGTTTAGATAGACTATCAAATCCACTTTTTTTGAAGGTAAAACCAAAAAGTGAGCTCATAATGTCAGTAATAATCTGCACAGAACTACAGTAAGTGAGGTATGTTATAGTTAAAGAGGTTGTCAGTATGGGTCTTCTTTTACATGTGTTCACAGGTATTGGGGAGTACTACTGCATATATGAAAAACACTGCATAAAGTGATGGCTACAACTTTGAAATAGAAAAGTGTGGATTTATATTATAACTCTATCTTATAGAAGCAATATTATCAGAGACCTGTAGCCCACTCCTTATCTCTGCTTAAGGCTACATTAGGCACCATTAGCATTGCACACCTGAATCTCTGACCAAACAGAACAACGAGAAAAGTACTCTTTTAAAACTGTATGAATGTCTGACAACTTGTCATGTTGGTTTTATTTAAACAGTGACAAATTTGCCTGAAGTCTTACAATCTTTAAAACATACCCTTTATCCTTATACACTCAATTTGGATTAGTAAAAACTACTAAGAGTTTTCCCTTTTTGGAATTGAGTTTTTTTCCCCACTGGCTGACTTCTTTTTAACAATGCAACAAAAACAGCAAAATCTTTAACACGTGCATAAATAAAGAGTATGCACATGTTTGTGTGTACATAGAACATGCAAAGACATTTGAACATAATTTACTGTAAGTGCATAAACATGGCTTTAAATGTCACTGGATTCACCCCATGTACTGCTGCATTAACAACTGTAATTCTCTTACAACTTTTCTTCCTTCTCTCTGTTTCTCTCTCTCTCTCTCTTTCTCCAGACCTGCAGGTTGACTTCTCAGTGGTATGGCAGGTCTAAGTGTATCTTAGAGGATCATGACCCTCCCAGACTGTGACCTGGAAAAACAGGACAGAGGAGCTGCAACAGGACATGGAATGTGTCTTTTGTTTTCTTTCACTTTTTTGTTGAAAAAAGTGGGAAATGTTCTCTGCACTTGCCAGAGCAAAAGAAAACAATTTCTTGGCAATGAATGAGGTAGGGTTTACATAGCAAACATTATGTGACTGTAACACAAATTATAAAAGCTCAGGCAGCGCTCTGTGTTGTAACTGAGGATGCATTATTCTTTCTCTTTGTGATTGTCGTCTTCTAAGCCACTGAAAATGTGATTTATTTTAAGAGCAGCACTTTTTCTTTGTGAACATATTTTTGGTGTTAGCACAGCCACTTGTCTGCGTTATCTATACATACCACATTATATATGTTCGCTATGCTCTGGTACCATGTGGAACCAATTGTTTCTTAATAAAAAAACCCCAATGTGAATGATTTAGAAGGTGTCTGCTTGTCTACATTTACTGGGTGTCAGCTCCCCTTCTACTGCTCCACTGCAGCTCAGTGTGAGGCGGCAGCAGCTGTGGCAGATTTGGGAGAGCTGGTTTTGTGCAAAGCTGCAGCGCTCCTAGTGGTGGAACATGGAAATGGTGCTACATTTCTGCAAAATCAACCAGACAGAAGGTGTCAAGTTCTGATTGAGAGAGCTTGTGTGCAAGAGTATTGCTTTGTATTGCATTGCCTTGTTTTTTGTGTGTTGTGTATGTGTGATGGCGGTGGTGGGAGGGGCGCACATGCATATGTGATTTTTCTGTGTCTGTCTCATCGCACAACAGTGTGTGGGTTCCATAAGTGTGTAAGCGCATCACTGAAGAAAAGTATCTGTGGCACTGTGTGTTCACTTGCACATCAGGGCTCAGGCTGTGGGCATTCGACCGTTTACATGTCTGAAACAGTGTGTGTGATTTGTAAATGTCAATGTAAATGGCATGTCAACATAGGGTCTGAAGAAGTGTTGTGTTGTGTGACAGTAAAGGAAATATATAACTTAGAGGCAAGCACGGGCCAAACAAACCTTGAATCCTAGGCTCCTAAACAGACTGCCTTTGCCTTCCAGATTAATGTGAAGACAGTGAATGTGGCAGATATCCATTTGTATCCAATGTCAACGTTTGACGCCTTTCTGCCGCTGCAGTGTTTCACTGAATATTAGACACACGAAAACACTATGAAATGGTAACAGTGACTGGTAAAGGTGAATAGGATTGTCTAAGGATTAGCTGCCTGATTAAAATCAATCTACAAAGTGAACAATCTATTATAACATATACACTCATCACAGAACACATAATCCCTGTAATACCAGGTATTCCTGTTGTAACAGCAATCTGGTGTTGATCACGATAAGACTGTTGAGATTTTATTTTGTTTCCATGACAAAGGTATGCAGCCCTGATCTTGTCTGTTTGGGACTTTGCTGGAGAATCTGTTGTCATGGCGCCACGGTCAAAGCTGACAGTACTCCTATATGGTTCACTATAGGATAGGCAGTACGGGCAAGACAGGCAGGACAGGCAGGGTCTATCTGGACTCTGTACAACTCCTGCATTATAGAGTTCACCAGAGGGTCAAAAGTGTCACCACATACATCACAGCTGTAGCAGAACGGCAGACACTGTTGCCATGGTGATCGGCCATTTTTTCCCCCCACTGTGCTAAGCCAAACAGTGGTGGGTGGGTGCCGAGATACAAGAAAAGACAAAAAGGATTGTGTGCCCAGGCTTATATGTGATTCAGAGTGTGTATATGTAACACAGTGTTTATTTGGCCGGGCAAATTTTGGTTACTGCTAAAGAGACACATGTGTGACCTCCTTGTTTGGTCTGTGTGGTCTCAGCTGTACTCATCAGGAAGGCTGTGCAACAATAGCAAAGGTGCCCGCGGTGGGAGCTGCACAGCGTGATAAAACTGGCAAAATGACGGTGTCAGAAGCCCCATTGAACATAATCAGGCTGTGGTAGATGGGCTCGGCTGTTGGGTTTGGGACCATAAGTCTGGCGATTAAACATGCATGGGGAGAATCCTTCATCACAGGGCGAAACAAAGCCGCCCTGCCCTTCCCACGTGTTCCAACATCGCCATGGAAAAAGCCTGTTTCCTTGGCAACCAAACGGGCTCTCTTTGTCACAGGAATGGGGAGAGCGGAGGAGGAGGCGGGGGGGGGGAGCTGAGTGGAGGCATGACAGTCCACGATGACCTCCACCTGACCTCTAGGTGAACATGCCGCATTGGTTTCCTGCTTTCGTGGAGGGAACACTGTGATTGGTCATTTTCGATAAAACAAAGACAAGTTCTGTCGCCTGAGTTAAATCATTCTACAACTAAATTTCTCTCTTACGTTTGACGACAACTCAGTCTTTAGACAATGTCTTATTTTGATATAAAATATCGTACAAATGTCTACAGTAAAGAGAAATAGCAAATGTTCTAGGACTGCAAGAGTAAGGACATTCACAGGGGCTATCATTACTCCATGATGATGGTGCTATCTAAATGCTTCCCTAAAAGCCGACATCTTTTCTTCTACTGCCCCCAGTGGCAGATTCTAGGGCCAGTGAAGGGGAAACAGGGAGAAGCATAAAAAGAGCTGAGTGAAAGAGAAATGACTCAAGGCAAGGAAATGGGGGATGCAGTTCAGAAAGCATAGTTGTGAGAAAGACAATGGCTTGTTAATATGGGCAGCCAGGAAAAGAGAGGAAGGGAGAGGAAGGGAGACAAAGTGAGATGCTGCTTTTATGTCGACCCACGGTTGCTCCCATAGAAAAGGCTGGTACTCTAGCTGTAATGTTAATCTAGTGTTTCCCTAATGGCCTTAATGACATATGGAGCACAGATTGCAGCAGGGGTCGTCTCTCTTTGAAACAACTGTCGCCTCCTTCAGGGCTTCGCAAGCATTACATTATGAAGATGTGGTAACTAAAGATACAGGTCATGTCTGGTGAACTTCAGTGGTCATCAGATGATATTTGAAATGATCTTTTCATGATCTGAAACATCTTTACATGTGATTCTAAACAGCTCTCAACAGGTGTATAATTTTCTTTTTCAATTCATCTCCCTAAGCATCATCCCTGCGACATATCACCCGCCATTTTGTTTCAATTTGTTCCCATCACTTATATCTCTTCCTCCTCTGAGCTGCTTTAGTCTGTCCACATCTCACTTTTCGTCTGGCCGTCATCTTCTCGTGGACTGTTACTGATGATATCGGATTGCTGTTGGCTTTACGCCACCAGAAAGTGGAGCTAATGGGCTTTCAAATGCTTTATTGTGAATGCAACCTGTCAAGAGGGGAGAGATAGGATCAGATTTGATTAGGGGGTGACAGCGGCAGAATAAAATGTTTTTAAAAAGAGAGAGAAGATTGTTTTTTTCACCGAGAAAGAAAAAGAAACTTCACAAAGTATATTTTGCCTAATCTACAGCTTTGCGCCAACCTTATTAGATGCCCTTGATTCATCCTTATCTCTGCAAGTATTTTCATCCCTGCTCCCATTCTCCACAGTTTCCCTTTTCCATATGCATCCCTCCCCAGCAGAGCAGAGAGTAACACTGCCTCTTTTGGCTGGACGCGGTAAATGTGCTCCTCTCTGGCAGATGAATGATGTCAAACAGACATATTTATATTCATTTAGGACTGAAGAGGAGGAGAACCCATCTGTAACGGATGTGATAGGAGCCACTACTTGTGAGTGTGCGTGCACTTTGCGTGTGTGGAGGCACACGCGTGTTTGAGCATGTGTTCCAAGGTATCGTTTGTGATAAATGAATCGTGCTTTTGTGTGAGTTGATACCGTGTTTTTGGATTTGGGTGTGTACGAGTTTGTGTGTGTTTACAAAATGTGTGTGCGCGTGTGTGTGTCCGTGTACGAGCGAGGTCATTCCCCGGTCACTCGTTCAGGCTGTGTGATGAATGAAGAGGAGAGGTGCCTGCAAAGCCGGAGAGATTTGGGAGAAACATTGTTCTACTAGGTTAAAAATGGTCTTGTGTTGTGCCAGAGGCTGAGGGAATGTTACTAAAAAAAAATGTAAGACTGGAACTTAAGTGGATGTTCATCATATCGGATGTTTAATACCAAGCTCGGCAAAGTAATAAACTTATAAAATATTAAAATTAGCCATTTGATTGTGCAGATTTGCTCAGTGAGATATTTTGCAAGTAAATAAAGTATCCAAAATGTGCTCCCTCTCTATGTCCATTTCAACTTTCCAGCAGGAGAAATGAGGTGGATGTGGCTGTGTTTGGTTTGGATAGCAGGCCGGTGGGGTCAAAGACATCTGACTCAACCAGGAAGTATCAGGTTGAAGTAGACAGGAAGTCAGTGGACCAAACAGGAAGGACTTTACGCAGAGGAGGCTACTGGAAGCCAGCAGCCATCAGTGTCTGTCAGCACAGGGCCAAAAAATAGTATGTGTATGTGTGTGTGAGTGTGTGTGCAAGCAGTTTTGTATCTATACTAAATAACTAGTTATGTTTTTTTTTTACTCCATAACGCTTACATGAATGTAGTTTTTTCATCAAAATCACTTTTTTGGTCATAAATCCAAATATTCAGACACTTGTGTTGTAACTAATACAAGGTGTTTCATTTGTCTGGAAGCAGGTTTGATAGAGGTCAGCTCTGATCCGAGGAACTGCTGTGGATGATTTGTGTAGGTGTGTGTGTGCGTACCTCCGAGTGTGAGTGTGCGTCTGAGAATATTTGCTTGGGACAATGTGGTCAGGCAGAAGTGCATTGTGGGATCGATGTCCACACCTCGTCCTAAATTATTCATCCTGTCAGCTGGCCTGTCCACCATCGCCGTGGAAACCGCTGACCAAGAGCTTTACCCCCATCCCTACGGATTCACCTCTTCATCCCCTCCTTGGCCTTCACTTCCTCTACTCTCTCTCTCTCTCTCTCATTATCTCCTCCCTGATTCGTTCATTTACAGCCTCTCTGGCCCCCCACTCCTACTTTTAGTCTTCCTTACTTCTCCAATCTTTTCATCTGTCTTTCTTCTACTCCCATTATTCAGTATATCTGTCTTCCTCATTAGTCCTGAACTCCCACTGACTCACTTTCTATTTCTTTCTCTCTGTTTTTTTCTCTTCATGTCTTTCCCCATGCTGACATTCTCTCCTCTGCTACCCCTCTGTTGCTGACTAAGATTATAATGTGTTGGCTTTGTAGGATGTTTATGTTTGTGTCTTTGAAGTCTGCCCCAGTGGCCTCTTGGAAGACAGCCATAATCCTAGTGAACCACCAGAGGTTGTTCAACGTGCTGTGTGTGCGCGCGCATGTATTCATACTCATACATGTGTGAATGCATGTGTACACATGATCAACTATGAGTGCTGTGTGTGTGTGTGTGTGTGTGTGTGTGTGTGTGTGTGCAAGCGTGCATGCGAGTGTGAGTCAGTAATTGTGACATGGCTCATACATCATGGCCAGA